TACTAGCGTTAAACTTGATTTATAGTTTTATCGTAACATTCAAAAGTGCTGTTATTTTTTTTTATCTGATTTGGATAAGAATGCATAACAGAAGCAAACAGGGGCATCTAATGTCAAATTTATAACATTTTCATTGGTATAACGTCAGTCTGCAAACCTATCAAATTCTTCCCATAAAACGTGATCAAGTCGGACAGTTTATGGACTATCGGATACTTCAGCCTGATAAGACTACATTAACTGAAGGAATTTATTTTAGGATGAACAATTTCTTCTGATAAAATTGTTTCTGTTACGCTTTTGTTCGTCATAATTCAATAACATGCGTGTTTTATGATTGTTATATCAACTATCTGAGCCTTGGGTTTATAGTGAAAAAAATAAAAAATACTTTGATATATTTCTTGTGCGAATATGCAACATATTTGTTCATCATTCATTTGATTTGCTACGTATCTTTGTTGCTACAAACATGTCATCTTTTGTGATACTAAAAAGAAGAAACTAAAGGCCTAATAATGTTCAATATGATGAATATTACTTTCAGTGAATATCTATTGATATTTTTGGAATACAATATAATACATATATTTCTACTGAATGAAATATAGAATTCATGCGGAGTTACTTCCGTGTGAATTGTAAAATATCGCGTTATGTAAACGAATCTATTATTGAATGAAACCTATTTTAGTTTTATTCTTTAATCAAGCATATATTGAATAGTAATATGTACAGTAGGGTTCCAAAAATGATCTTAAGCTATGATAAAAAAATGTATATTTTATACGTATATACATATGTACATGTGATCGTATCCAGACAAAAAATAAATCATAAAAATCAATATTATTATACTTTCTGTGGGTAATGACCCAATGTATGACATGGTCAACTCGTATATTAAATACTTCCTTGTTTGGCTTTTGGCATTGACATAATAATTCTCTTGATATGTGCTATCTTACTTCGTTTTTGTAGTGATCATAAATAATATATATTATAATGATGCCATATTTAAAATAATTCAATTTGTTTGAACCCTGTGAAGACCAACTTTAAAATGTATACAAAGTATTAGGTCAAGTTTTAAGAAGGATTCAAAATTAACACATTTAAAAAGATAACGCTTTTAGTCACGAAGATATTATTATACCACGTGATCACTAAATGGCTGTTTTGACACCAAAGCTTTTCATCTCGGATTTATCAATAGCGTTTGCTGTATATTGCATAGATAACGAATCTTATCAGTGACGATAACGTTTACAGAATGTTGTCTTCATACAAACTAGAAAAGATCGATCACCTATCATGGATTCAAAAGCGTACTTTATATGGTATTGCAAAATGTATGTAAAGGGATGTTTAGCAGACTTCACTCAGTAAAGCAAAGGATATTGTCTATGCCAAATAAGGTTATGTATTCAAAACAGAGATGATATATATATATGTATAGAGAGAGAGAGATAAGTCTATTGATGCATTCAAGTTATAGAATCAACAGATATGATGTAAACATATGATTATTATTTTTCAAACGACAAAATCCATTTGCTTGATGACTGTTAATATGTATTGAAAGCAACAGAACGAAATCAAGAGCACTTGCAACGCGCCGTACTGATAAAGGTTCCCATAACGCTAACTGAGTTATAATAAATATTGGATGTGATTCTCTGATAAGAAGATATGGATATCAAATACACGGGTAAATAGGTGCCCCTAAATAGAAAGTTCTGACGACCTGGATAGGTCTTTTATTAAGACAATACTATAAGTCATTTAAGAAAACATCAATTATTTCCTATTTTGCCAGCTAGGTTTAATAAATTACGTTATAAGACGGTAACAAACGCATCAGTCAATGTCTTGATAATGTTTAACTTTGATGTTTTATGTAAGTATATATTTGTTAAGACTCTTTCGGATACAGATCTCTGTGTATTGTTAAAATAATGTTGTAAATATATATACATTAATTGTTACGAATTATGTATGCATAACATAACTGCATGTTTATGTAAGTACCAGATATCACTTATTTGTGTCTATTTAGCAAAGAAGAGTGCACCGTTTATTTAATTGTGAAATAGGAACACGTTGAAAGAGACTTAATTGGTCCTTATGATATATACATCACTTATTTAGTTATCCTTATATTGAGGATCTGTAAAAGATTACCTAGGATATTACAGGATGTGGATGTGATCGTAGGGAATACCTAGGGAATAGAAATATATAAATTAATTTGTGGAAGTATCATAACATAAAATAACACTGTTGATGCATTGCGCTTTGTGGCTGTGCTATCAATCTAGTTTACGCAATAGATAAAAATAGTATAACTGAGGTCAATCGTTTTGTACTCTTTGTTATTTTCAATCGGAAATGAACAATGATTAATGGACATTTGATTGAATTATACATACTGTATTCCTAATCAATACCAGTAACTCCTGTCATAATATATAATTTTGGCGGGTTTAATTGAAATCTATATACTTTTAATACTGAATTATCCTTTTGAGGCAAGTTTAATTAATTACATATTTGTTAAATTTTCTACTGAAAATTTGTCAACATGTAAACGGTCTTTATTTAGAAATTTCATTTTACCAAAAAGAGGGGTTTTTCTCCATTTTGCTAAATGTATACATTTCAATGTAAAAAACATAAAACTTGAAAAATATGCTGTAGAAGGTTCTACTTAAATGTTTTCTGGCTGCTACACACTACAATCTTATGTATTGAATTACTTATGATTACAAATTAATTATATACAGTATATTTATAAAAGATAAATATTATTTGACCTTCACATAACATAAAGATATGATCATCGTATAATATCTAATTTTCTTATTCTTTCGTATTTATATCAATTCCATAGTATATCAATAAGATTTCGAAACAGTTCTATAATAAATATTTTGTAAAAATATATTAACTGTATTGAAAATCTGAAACACACATATCATAATTATCGTTAAAAATATTATTCGGGGTTAGAATGACAATTCCAAATGCCATACACATAAATAATTAGAGAAACACAATAGTTAAATTTAACACCGACTCTTAATTAGGCGTGACTAATGTTGTATGTTGCCGGTGTAGTAATGGCTTGTCAAGGACATGTGATATCGTTGAAGAACGGTCATGCAATTTATTTCATTATTAAAACTCATTGTTAGTTCAACTATTCTTATTGTTAGTAAGAAAAAGAACCACGATAATTCCACTATTAAATGATATCAATAGTCCGGATTCAATTTGTGTTTGAAATTTTTACTTCTTTTATTTTTTATTGTAAAAAATTAAGCAAAAATAATACATTTGAACTAGTGACAAATATGCATAAAAGAGGAAAACGAAGTTTAAAGCCAATAGAATGAATTTTCATATCTTATTATAATAGTCTCTATAAGTTTATAACGATTAGCATTTTACATCACAGAGTTATACATTGGACCATGAACTATTAGCGTGGTTTTCTTACAAGAAATGCGTAAAAGACTCTTATATGTGAGATAATTATTGCAAAACTGAAAAAGTTATATTTTGCAATGTCATCCATTTTATTATAACTAAACAAATATGCAGCTAGCTCCACACATTAAGCCTAATCCATTCAAAGATGCGAGGTTCCGGTATCAGACGCAAGATGAACAGTACATATTTTCTAGTCAAAATCACACTTGAAGCATACAAATTTATTACAACTCATTCCCCTTATTGATATTTGTCCTTTCCCGTGAAATATCAACAAGATTATATACACCATGTGGGTTATCCAATAATGTGTGATGTACATTTCATACGGCGTACAAGCAAGGATTTACATTACAAAGTCGTATAAGACCGGATAAAAATAGGTTTCTAATTCATTTTCGCCAACATATTAGGTTATCGCAAATGGATGTTAGATAATTTATAACTCTTATGATACAAATAATATCGAACATGTTCTGTCTTTGCAATGTTATACACTTATTCCTTATGATAACCTTTGAAATCGTTGTCTCTTAAAATATAAATTGCACAGTAATGATATTAAGAATTAGTATATATCAAACCTCTTTCATTGATTGTAAACACATCTGCGTTAAACTGTGAATCAAAACGTTTATTGTAATTTATTTTTCGAGAAATATGGATTTATTAATGATAATCTTTTTGTTGGAATACAATTTCAAACTTTTCAACAATATGCATAGGAATGTCTGTTCCCATTAACTATTTTATAGTAACCATGCCTTTATCACTAAAATGAGATCAACAGATTTAATGTGATCTGTTTTAAAAACCATTTCTAATATATTAATAATAAAACTTCATAATATGATATAAATGTGGAAAACACAACTGTTCTTATATAAATTATAATTCATTTCAGTAATGAAAAATAAATCAATTATGCATTTCATACTATTGTGTTCATTTGGGGGAAATGTAATTTGTGGAATATTATTTCATTCAAACTCGATAAACATATTATAGTCCCACTGAAATTTTCATCTGTTTGCTGTTACATCACATGACACGTCATCCTCAGGGCCGACAAATCCAGTTTCGGTCTAATGTGTTTCTATATTTCATAAAAGCATGCACTCAGACATTTTGTGAATTCAAATATCAATATTGCACATAGTCACTGGTTATGTGTGTACACTACATTTTTGAAGGTTTTACACGTCATAACATCAGCAATGATAATAAAAATCATCTCGGAATATCGAACACGAAGATGGTATGAACCATCACGGAGAAAGATTCTACATTATTGGTGAGTTGGAAGGAAAAGAATATCGGACTTATTATAAACTTGAATATCTGGTAGCTTTCAGTGTTGTGTAAATGATAGATACTGAACAATATAATATTAAGTTAGGGATGAATATGAATGAATACGGTATCAGTATATAACTTAATTGTAAAAATATCGTACAGTTTCGGGGAGTTAGAAGGAAGGAATATTGTAATATTATGTAACTTACTTACCCCAAGGAGCGTCGCAGTCATACTAAAGGGAATCCAACTGGTGCACAAGTTCTCAGACTCGCTACAAACATTTATCAGTTTAGACCGTTTTGTACATAAAACGTGTGTAGGGTAGTGGGGAGAGTGTTTACAATATTAAGTAAGCTCGCACCTTTGAGAGACTATCTTGAAGCAGACGACAGGCTATTGTATCAGCCAATCAGATCTCAATGACTCTGCAGTGCGAGTACGTTGACGACTCGTCTGACATTCGGAACACCCCTTTGTTTAGCACTGTTCCACCCACTTTTAAACATGAGTTGCTGTTAAATTGTTTTGATTTCTATAGAATTGCGTGTTCAGAACATTAACTAAATACCTATAATTACCTAAGGTTAATAGCGGAAGAGCCCGTACTATAACACTAAGTTCAATCGTTTGGTGAAATCATGGTTTGCGAATTAATGCAAGTTCCGTAAACTCTGATTGGAGAGTATACCTTCAATGGACGTAAAAGCGAACATAAAGGCGGCCATATCTTAATTTCAAAATATGATACGCTCATTTTGACATCTGCTTTAGTTCTATGATTTTATCAGATTAAATAAGGACCAGCCTAACAAAAGCTTTCAACCAACCTGGAACTATTTTACCGCTGTTACATTTTCATAATACCATAATATGTATTCCAGTATTACCATAATATTGTAAACGTTATAGAATTATAAAATTGTCCCTTTTAGCATAATACCATGCGAAGAATTTTATGCTTCTATAATTCAAGACTTAAATTTCATATAAAATACATATATTGACAAAAGTATATGATAATACAACAACAGATATTTGCCAAATTTATCGTTAATTTAAAAAAAGCTATATGATTTTTTATAACAAGTTACATAAACAACCAAAGGTTAGTAAATGCAGGACAGCTATAGGTCGAAGGGTAACTTGTTACATCGTACATAAACATGGCATTGATAATACTTAAATATATCAAAGGATAGGACAATAGTGTTAAAGGATTTTATTACAATTACAACAGGAATGTGTTGGACTGTCAGCATTAAATTCATTTGCAGTAAGGTTGAAGAGCATTAATGATGAATCAACAAACATGCACAAAGAACATAAACATAATTGTTTAATGTTTAAATCAACAAAACCGAGTTAACTAACAGTTGTTTTATTAGCGGAAATATACTTAAATGTTATACAGTTCAAACTTAAGCGAATTGGAGCGTCATTAGTAGCAAAGTTTATTGGTTGTTATCGGCGATCTGAACATGTTTATCTGATCTTTGGCTTCCCTCCCAGCTGTAAGTAAAACGATAAAGATAAGGGAAGTATTTGATTGCATTTAGGAATACTTACCAAAGTGTGGAAATAACTCGCAAATCTGGTGTAGTTTATTAATCTAAATTTGTGATCATACAGACTTGTGAATTTGCTTGTGAAATTAATGACATAAAGAATTCTCAAATGATATGGGGTGTTTTTTGTCGAGATATCTTTATCATTATCATGCTGAAGTTCAAGTCTACATTTCTCTTCACGATTTACATGCAGAGATAGGTGAAAAGGGTGTGTTCCTAAGCACTTGGTATACTATGAAATATGTTGAACCGGTATTAATTGAAACAATTCTTTTTAAAATTATATAATATATGTCGACTAACATTTCAAATTATATACCACAACTGCGTCCGCAACTCATTAATGTACACGTGAATGAATAAGAGTACATGGCTACTACTGTATACATACATTTATCTCAAAAAGTAAAACATATAATATATCAATATGTAACCTATCAATATATACAATAAACTTATACAAATTGTAATACGGGTGAGAAAGGGTCATATTATGTTGGCAACAGAATCGTGACAATAACATACCAAAACAACAGTGTGAATATACAGGAAATTATATTAACTTCTCGAAGGAAACGCCCCAACAAGAATGTATGTAATACTTAGACAAAACTATACGCAACAAGGTGTCACTGAAATGATACAATCTTGCAACAAAATCCTGCTCCCGTTATAACGTATTCTCACAAATGGAAGCCGCCGTGATGTCAACGGTTATCATTTGACAGTGTTTTACAGCTCGTGATATTATGTTTATGGTGATCCAAATGGCGTGATCTCTTCGTTGTGATATACATGTATCATATTAAGATAGTAAAATTATTAATCCTGTTTCAGGAAATATAAAACGTAAACACTTGTGGTAGGAGTTCGTGTTTACTTCTATGTTCAGACCACAGTCACGTGTCATAATATACCATACACGATAGCATGACACTCCACCCTGATCAAATTAATGACATTGTTTTGCAATAAGAAATAAAATGTCAGCAAAAATAATTGATTCATTTTGTATACTACGTCAGGTTATAAATACTAAGCAAACTTACACAATAAAAATGTTCAACTAAACTTGCCTATGGATAACACGTTTACAGGGAATGCTTACATCGAATGGAGAACCAATAAAACATAAAGATTATGACAAAACGACACATATTAAACCATAATATTTCAACAGGAAAATATATATTGTAATGCATGTTCCTTGTTAGATTGTGGTTAGTTATATACAGCTATAATTATATCTTAAATACATATGTCAACTCTCCAATTAAACTACAAAATATCTGAATGTTATTATACTCCAAATATACATTAACATTAATTTTCACCAAAAAAAACATATTTATAAAGGCTTCTTCAGAAAATACTATTTTTTTCTCAATTTAGTATCAGTATTTGTTTTAATTGTTTCAATATTAAGCGCAATAGTTATAATTTACACGAAAATGATAATAACATATTGGTACTACAACTTATGTGATACGATTTATCATCAAGTATACATTATACTATGCAGGCAGGACACGCTAATACGAACGCGAGAACTGATCAGACACCAAAATCAAAGGGAAGACAACATCGACGTATACAAAACCGAGGACATAACTTGTAATTGGAGATTTGTCATTTATTTTAATGTTAAATCATTATTAATAGTTTTTTTGCATAAAATACTAGACGTCAATGATGTTGTGGCTGGAATGGATTCTTACACATTTTAAATAATATACAATTGAATATAACACGAATTAAAGCCACAAGTTGTACATCCGAAACGTTATATGGTTTTATAGGACACGTTTTCATTTCACAGTATATCTTCTAACATTTCAGAACACTTTTTTCATACATTTTCATTCTTAAGTACCACTGGTGATTTCAAATTACGGAATAACCTGATGGTGCAACAATAAATAAAATATTGTATTTGCCTTTCATCAACGAATTACTAAATCTCTAAATAGGTGATTTCAAACTTCGTATTTCTTTTGATTATTCTTTTAGGAATGGTATGTTGTGGCTTTTTGTAGACATACACTTATCTAAAGTTGGACATGTACAAAACGAAAACTCAAGAAGACAAATAATCTATTTTTACTTCAATCATACGAAATAATAACATATCAACAAATGCCCCCGGTGACCCGAATCATTCGCCATTGTGTGACTGACAGATCTTCGAGAGGTGAACAACACCACCTAACCGAAAAGCAAACAAAGGTCTCTGTACTATTGCATCGCCTTTTTACGACACAATATCAACTTACTCTCAGCATCGATTGTGAAAGAAAGGCTTGTTTGATTTGATCATCGACAAAAATTGATCCAATTAAAACATTTTCTTCGTCTCTGTAAATAAAAAAATGAAATTCAAACAAACTTAATTCCTTAGAGTACAAAATAAATACGGTTCACTGTGTGGAATGTTTGAATTTGGAAGAGCCTCGGAACAATACTGAACAAAGGGTATTCTTTCAGCTGGTATCACATGAAGTGTTCGTGTAATTAATTTTAATATCACATTTGTTCCAGCTTATGGAACGTATAACTTTGACATTTTACCATTATTAGCTGTAAGTTACTTGGTTGCATGGCCGACCTCTAGCTTTGACAGTGCATTTCACTTCACACTTCATACAAGTGTACACTAGTGTGCGATCAACAGCCCAGCTCCTTCCCTTACACAAACAGTTGATATAACGCGACATCGTGAGGGGAAACTACCGTTACACGCTCCTACAATGGTTTATTTTGATATTCGTTTCATATAATTTTTGTCAAATTATTATGGTACATTTTACATATTTTAAAAGATGGGATAGTTTAAAGTGTTAAGTTAAGAATGTCAAAGTGGGGAAAACGAAAAACAAGTAAGTATGGATAAGTTTACACAAAACCAGTTCAATTTTCAATTTTTTCAAATTTAAACTGTCAACATTTGTCTGCGACGTCTTTTCCAGTGGGAAAGCAAAAATTATTTTAGTTAACATGTGGTAGCTATTAATAGAGATAACACAAATCATCACATCACTAGAAAGATTAGCTTGTAGTTATGTAGCTGTAAACAGGTGATGTTTAAGGCAGGTTTAATGGAAATAGAGACAGGTTGAAGCTAGCTATAGGAAGGTGGTGTTTCTGAGGCAGGTATGATTATCAAGTCTCAGAAATACAAATCAACAAATGTTAATACCTGTGCTTTGCACGATGTTTTTGGAATGCAAGTACTGTTGTATATATTTGAACTTGCTTATAACATTTGCTTTTGTTGAGCGTACAAGTAGTTGTATAATAATTTAAGCAATAAGTATGTGTTAGCTGCAAAAATTGTAAAGAGAGAAACAGTTTAACAAATATCAGTTCAATAGATTATAACAAAATGTTATTATATATCATCAAGGCATCATATATCCATTGACTAGCTTATTATTGGTGTTAGGTGTAAATAGGTACGTGATGTTTATTGTAAAGCATAATTAAACGATATAATTAAATTATGGAAAAAAAAATGTTTTAAAGCGTTTCGTTTTCTGTATCATTAGATCTTATTATTTGAAGCATCATGCAATCTGTCATTTCTGAACCAATACCTGCATGTAACTTTTATAAAATCTGTGTTATGATATTCCAGAGTCATTATCATGTATTATCAACAAATAGTATCACAACTTTGCAGATTCTAAAGAAATCTATTAACTACCTGTTGTTTTTAACTCATTCAACCCTTAAATTTCATAATGAAATATTCCAACCTTTGAATTGGAAGAGTCCAAATGTGTCTTCAGG